ATAATTTCATATACAATGTTTATTTTTAAACCAAATGTGTGTAATATTGTAGTTTAAATACTGATGTTACATAAACCCTTAAATTCATACCTCGTGTCTTTAGTGACCTGGGACGTCATTCACTACCCTCCTCCTCATTCATTTTTTAAAGTTAGACATCAACCTACTTAGTATCCCTCAATCAATTCATTATACACAATATAACAAGAAAAAAATTATAAAATTATAAAAGAATGCCCATTTTTTGTAAAAATTATATAGGGTCGCTGACCCAAGGTGTGTAACAGTGTTAAGTATATTTTTGCTGCACGAGTTGGCAGTGTCTGATACACAATGATGAAGTGATATGTAGGGAACCTCGGGATTAGCTCTATTAGTAGGGAGGTTAAGCCCAAAAAATAGGCCTTTGACCTCAAGTCATGATACAAATAAATTTACAAATAAATTTATCCTAAGACACAAGTGAGATCACACTTTGTATCAGAAATAAACATGTTTTTTTTCTCCAAAAATGGCCGCCAATGAGCCGAAAATACTCTAGAGCCCATATCTTTGCTTCTGTTATCGCTATATTGACAAATTTGGTGTCAAAGTGTACTTTTTTGGGGTCAAGGAATCCAATAAAATTGGTTTCAAGTTTAAAAAAATAATAATTTTCCCCATACCATGACAATTGGGGGTAAATATGCACATTTCACATAAAAATTGTCATCGGAGTGACTTTACTTATCTTTTTGTTCAAAAACTTTAATATTGTATTTAAGCAGTGCAGCTACTTCTGTACATTACATTTGTCCTAAGTAGCATGAGATTTCGACCAGTCAGGACAGGAGTAGCCTATAGCATATCAGTTCCTGCAAAAACACATCCCATCTGCACCAGGAGCTGTGACAGCTGTTGAAGGTCAGAGGTGACAGGTTAACACTTTGAGGTTCGTTTGACTTTCTCATTAAATAGAAAAATGTTTTTAATGTTAGATAACTAATAAATAGCTAGCTAGTTGACTATGAAAAAAAACCTTAGAGGGAAAACCTCTTTTCTCGAGAATACTGAAGCCAAAAATTATCCTTATAATTTTTATTAATTTAAAACACACTTGCTGCAGCTAGCAGACCTAGGCGAGGCAGCTCGTCCGCCTATTGGATGCTATGCCGCAACTGCTGCAACCTATCGAGGCACTGCTCGTGACGTAAGCACCAATGAGTGGGCGTGTGGGCGAATGGGCGTGGCTTATAAGCCAGAGCTCGATAAGATGCTCCTTGGTTTCCATCCACTGCAGCGAAACCAGATGGTAGCACAATCACGGCAGGGTTACGCAACACTCATTCCCTCTTCTAGAGAGAACCGAGGTTACGTTAGTAACCGTGACGTTCTCTTACGAGAGTATCCAATTCAAAACTCAGTTCGTGCTAAATCTACCACAACACTGACCCAAGGGCGAGCGCCCTGAGTTCATATGATATGGGGATATAAAAAGCCGACATTGGGAATGGGCTTAATAAGAATGATATAAGGTAAACGTGGTTACCTTAAATGCATAGAGGGTGCTTAACATGGTATAACAGTCAGGGGAGGCAATAGCCTGCCTGAACTGAAAACTTTGCAGTCTGCGGAACCGAGTCCGGCAAAACTGAGCGGATAAACTAAACTGACAACAGTCTAGCTTGGAGCGCGGGAACTTCCAGGTTATAGAACCCTATAAATGTAGACAGAGAGGCCCATCCTGCCGCCATACAGATATCGTGAAGGGAAATCCCACTGGACCAGGCCCACAAAGAGGCATGCCTCTAGTGGAATGAGCTCTGATGCCCAGAGGGCAACGAAGGCTCTCAGATGTAGAAGCCAGTGAGATAGCGTCCACTATCCACCTGGAAAGGCTATGTTTCGAGGCAGCTAGACCTTTAGATCGGACACCAAACGAAACAAATAGCTGTCCTGACCGTCTGAAAGCAGCCGAACGTTCCACGTAAATTCTAAGGGCCCTAACCAGGCAAAGGAGATTCACGTCAGACTCGCTGTCAGATCCGAAGAGAGAATGTCAGATTGAAGAGGCGGTGGTACCAGTACCAGTCGGTCGCCTTCCAAGGTTTCAGAGCTGCGACGCATTTCTGATTGACCCTGAGGCGAAACAGATCGGAGGCTCAAGCTCGAGACGGCACTCGTGCTTTCAGCCACCACTGCAGTGGGCGCATGCGAAGCAGACCCAGCTGGAGTACTGATGATGATGAGGCCCAGCATTTTCTGAAATCTCTTGAGCGGGACTATAGTGCCGCAATGTTCAGTATGCGCTCTGGTGATAGTCGCGTGATAACTGGTGATAGTCGCCAATTGACTATGAGACCAAGATTCTCGAGGTGTTCGAGTAATATGGTCCTGTGTTCTATGAGCTCTGAATGAGATTGAGCTAGAATCAGCCAATCGTCCAAATAGTTCAAAGCTCGCATGCCCTGAGGTTTCAGGGGCGTGAGAGCCGTCCATGCACATCATAATATACAGGATGCCAGGGACAGGCCGAACGGTAGGACTGTGTATTGATATGCCTGGCCCTCGAAGGCGAATCTCAAAAATCACCTGTGACGAGAGAATGTCAGACTCGCTGTCAGATCCACAGAGACTTGTGCTCTGAAAGGAGTGGCACGACTCATGTCTTGGTTTGAGGATGACCTTGGAGTCATTAGGCCCAAACTCAAGGCACGACGCACTAACAGAAAGTGCGTGTAAGTCACCCACCTGCTTGACTGAGGCGAAAGCCACCAAAAAGGCGGTTTTCAATGAGAGATACTTAAGGTCCACAGACTGTAGAGGTTCGAAAGGGGCACCCTTCATGGCCTCCAGGACCAAGGAAAGGTCCGAGGGGGGGGCGAGGAGGGTTCATCCTTCTAGCTCCCTTGAGGAAGCGGACTACAAGGTCGTTCCTACCCAGTGACTGGCCATGCGAATGTTCGACAAACGCAGCAATAGCCGCCACATATACCTTGAGCATGGATGGGGATCTACCCTTATCCAAGAGCTCCTGTAGGAAGGAGAGAACCTCGGACACCCCACGATCTTGTGGATCCAGGTTGCGAGCTGAGCACCAACCCGAGAACACTGGCCACTTGGAAGCATAAAGCCGTCTAGTAGAGTAACACTCCGTCGGGGAGACTGACGGGTACCCGTTGATGGCCCACACATGCAGAGCCCAAAGCTCGGGTCGTGGGTGCCAAATCGTACCCCCGGCCTGTGAGAGGAGATCTCTCCTCAACGGGACAGGCCACGGAGGCAAGCTCTGAAGCTGCATCAGCTCCGGAAACCAAACTTGGTTCGGCCAGAACGGAGCTACTAGAAGTACACAGGAACCGTTCTCCCTTATACGCTTGATTACCTGTGGTAACAGCATGATCGGAGGGAAAGCATAGAGAGGGCGGCTGGGCCAGTGATGGGCCAGCGCGTCCTTGTTCTTTGTGAAGCATATTGGACACTGAGCGTTGTCTTGAGACGCAAAGAGGTCGACTTCTTCTGTGCCAAATGTGTCCCACAACAGCTGAATAGTCTGAGGGTGGAGGGACCATTCCCGTGGGGGAACGTTGTCCCTGGACAGCCTGTCTGGACCCACATTAAGATGGCCTGGCACATGCGCCGCTCTCAGCGAGAGAAGGTTGCGCTGAACCCATATAAGGATGCGTTCGGCCAGTGCATGAAGGTTCCGTGATCTCAGACTGCCCTGGCGATTTATGTAGGAAACCACCGACATGTTGTTCGTGCGAACAAGGACATGGTGGCCCTTTAGAAGGGGAAGGAAGAACCGCAAGGCGTTCTCGACCGCCTTCATCTCTAGACAGTTTATGTGCAAGCTCTTTTCTTGGCTTGACCACAGGCCAAAAGTCGGTCTGCCCTCATAGAGGGCGCAGCAGCCCGAATTGGAGGCGTCTGTCGAAACCACTACCAGTTTAGAGATTACTCCCAGGTTTACACCTGTCTGATACCAGTCGACCGCCTTCCAGGGCTCCAGAGCTGTGACACAGTTCTGGGTTACCTTGAGACGTAAACGACCGGATGCCCATGCTCGACGCAGGACCCACGTCTTCAGCCAGTGCTGTAAAGGGCGCATGCGAAGCAGACCTAAACGAAGAAATTATTAAGTTGTGAATGGACTGTGTGTTTGGCATGCGTTTTTTAATAAAAAATTGCATACTTCACCTCCAACTGTCATGTAAAGGACAACATTATTGTTTTTACGCTTGGAACCTATTTTATTGGACTCATTGACCACAAAAATGTACCCGTTCATACCAAATTTGTCATTATAGCTATAACAGAAGCAAAGATATGGGCCTCTCAAGTATGGTCGGCGGCCAATTTTTTAAAAATGTGCGTATATAAGATACAAAATGTGATCTCACTTGTGTCTTAGTTTTATGTCATCGCGACAGGTAGAGATTCATCCGTGTTAGATATAGTTCCGGGTCGCTAAAGACCTGAATTATGTAATAATGATTGCTGAAACATTCATGCATTTAAGAGTTAAAGGTTTATCAGACCAGCATATTGGTTTTTGCACTCTTTTTTAACAACAACTACATCGTTTTTAAAGAACTTTGTGGAGTTAAAATGGTAAAATGTTAAGTATGTGGCATCAGTCTATAAACATTTGAATTCTCTTTCAAGCATTTATTTAGGAGTATCAGACAGGATGTAACTGAACTCAGTCAAACACTGCTTCAAACCTAATAAGTACATGTTACAGTTGATCTCTCCCTATTTGTTATATTAATAATTTCTTAATAAATTCATACTTTACTATAAAAAAAAAAGAAAGTGAAGACAATACATTTTTTAAGTAAAAAGAGAGGCAACTATTTGTTTTTTGTAATAATTTTCAATGATTATTGCACATTAAAAAAAAGGAATAACAAACAAAACAAACGATTTTATCCTACACCTAAGCATTTTCACATGATTTAGACATTGATTAGACATTGATTTTAGACAATGATTAACATTGATTAATTGATTAAATGTACTTCAGAGGCATGTTATTCTTATCTCATTATATAACTGAAGTTTCAACTCAACTAAAGTTTCTCCTATTCACATAAAAAAAAAACAATTAAGTTGCAGAGCAAAACACACATTGAGAAAGACACAAAGTAGCCTCTATTGGGTGTGGTTTTGACCGTGGTGATTGTTGAAGGCTCAACTGTGGTTGCAGTTACAGAGGGACTCTTTATAGAAGTGAAACATGTGCCCACATTTCCCACCATGTCTACAACTACCAGCTCTACTTCCTGAGAACAACAGGAAGCATTGTAGGACGCCACAGTCACATTTGTGCCATCCTCACTAATCACATTTCTTAAGCTGAGAGAGCCGTTCCCACTGTTGAAAGACACATCGGATATGCCTGTACCATTCCCGTCCGTCAAGTTGGCGGAGAGTTCCCATGATGCCGTGCTGCATTCCACAGGACAGTCAGCTTTGATGCTCACTACCTGACAGACAGGGCTAGAAATATCAGTCACCTGCCAAAATAAAAATAAAAATAAAAATAATTGAGGTTAATCAGAGTCAATGGGGATCAAATGTTAATACTGTTTGCACCCAAAACAATGAGTCACGAAGAAAGCTATTCTATTCAATGGATATCAGATACAGTACAATGATAATGTAACAAAAGTCAAACTGATGGAAATTATTAATAATGTCTACTCTAGCCGCTTTCATAACAGCTACCTTAGTCATGACACTGAACCGCAGTGCCACGTAATTCGAGTCACTGGACTCTGGATCTTCTGCTTCAATAGTGAGTGTGACATCCGTCCCTGACTCTGTGTTGGAGGGTGCGGTCAGTGTTACAGTTCCTTGAGCGCTTCCGTCTGTCCCCACATTCAGAGAGCTGGGGAAAGACACGCTGAAGCCGCGGTCAGTCCGAGCTCGGATAGTGTAGTTGCTCCCTGTAGTATTATTGACCAATGTAAAGTTGAGATTTAAAGGAATTCCAGGCTCTATGGTGCTACTTGGTTGGGCCTGAGAAGTGAAATGGTTAATGGTTAGAATATTGTCAATGTATTTTGCATATATTTCATTGAATATTCTGTGCTGGTCATATTAAACTTGTATAGAAGTAATCTGTCAATGGTTCTATCCCCTTAAGCTCACCGTGATGGTAACTCTAGAGCCTTTTTGCTGTGTTGGTGACTGTCTCTGGAATTGACTAGGCAAAGATCGAGTTGAATCATCCAACAGCCCTTTAAGTTGGACCACAAATGCCCCCTCTGGGATTCTGTCTACGTTCACCAGGAAGTCTGTCGCTCCCACTGCTTTGATGGTTCCATTAACAACATCAGATCCTGAAGCTTCAACTAGAAGCACGTCTGTCACTGTGACTGAATCTCCTCCGGTCACAGAGACAAACAAAGTAGCATTCCGACCTGATCAGCAATCAAATAAATTTTTTTTTAATTCACATTGACGACACTAAAAAATAAAAATAGTTCTTCATGTTTATACACTCCTCTTCAAAAGTTTGGGGTCAGAAAGAAAAAAAAATAAAAAAAAATGAATACTTTTATTCAGCAAGGACAGCGTAAAAACATTTAAAATGATCTCTCAAACCAAACTCTCAGTCCAAAGTCTTTTGCATTTTACAACGGGTAAATCTCCAGTTGTCACTGGTGATTGTCGTTTGAACCTTTCTGGATCCACCATCAAATTAATAAGTTTAATTATATCAAGTGCTGTGAGAAAAGGCTAAATCTCTACCTCCAACATCCTCACTCGCAAGATAGCTTATACTAGCCGAGACTCCTTCTTTATGTGAACAGATGTGACGTTATGACGCAAAGACATGCTCGAATTTCCCGCGGAAATCCACCAGTACCACTGGAATTAAAAACATTATTACAAGCTTACCACTTTGAATCAAGCTAAGGCAAGCAGATAGTTTTGAACACTGGCTGGTTATGTACTTGCTCAAAAATTTAATTTGGATAATTTTTAACCCCAAAAAGTTACAGACTTGAGCTTTAAGCATTACAAATCAAGCGTAGGCTATAGCGTCAGTTCTGGCAGGTCACGTTAGTCAAGCTCGCATCAGCTGAATCTCAGCTGATCCATGTCTACCTATATGAATACGACAACGCTTATCACTGTATAAGCTCGGTATTATCAACAACTATCGTGTTTCCCTGTAGCCTATTAAATGGCGAAATTCAGCAGGCAAACCGCATCATCTCACAAGGAATAGTGCAATCGGGAATTTAGCGAGAGGAATTCGTTCCCCACAAGGATTTCACCTCAGATTAATTGAAGTTCATGAACTCAAACACGAGATTGGCTGCATTGATCATAAAAGATTGGCTGCCTGATTTGGAAGTGACTTCAGTCTGCATTGCTGCTCGCATCGCTGCATTATTTACACAGGACTCGATGTGATTCACTCTCCCTTCATCTCTGAAAGTCTTCACGAAGCTAAGCTAAGTTCCTTTTTAATGCTCATTGCTAAAAGCTATCAGGGTATTGGCAACATGCTTGTTGCTAATGCTATCCGCGTTGCTTGGGCTTATCTAGTCGTTTTCATTAAAATCAAACAACATATATTGACAAGAAGTGAAAGCCAATAGAACGTTCCATTGCAACACCAGCGCCCAGCAGCAGCCCTACGCTTCCACCATTTTGGGGTGAAAGCGACTCGGCAGTCCACTAGTGAAGTGTCGTTTGCGAACGAGTTCAGCGATTCTTTGAAAAGAATCCGGACTTCCCATCACTATCCACTAGCTTAGTGGCAATATCAGCTGCTTGGTAGAAAAAGAAAAGAAAAAAAAGAAAAAAGAAAAGTACATTAAAGATCAAATCTACGTACAATCACTAGTGCTCATTAAATCCCTTTTAACAGTTTATTTCACAGACTTAGACAAGTCTTCTACTTTTTCCCCACAAAACCTTTAGTAGCCTATTAGCATTACAAACACTGAATTAATGCCATCATATAAAATTAAGTAAAGGACATGCATATATCAGATAATTGGGAATGTTGGACAATAAATAGCCTATATAACAGCAATAGAATAGCTTTACAGTAAACTTTTTTTTTTTTTTTGCAGTACTATCTTATATTAATGAGCGTTAAAGCAAGACTTTGTAAACAAACAAACAAAAAACAGCCACTGTCCAAAAGGGTGAATAGGATAAAAGGCAATTATAGGATAACAGACACAGCAATGCATCATGTTCTATAAGATCATGATGTTTGTAGCATGATCCAGGGGATTAAAACGTACAAAATATATTTCAGGCCAAGTGGAGTTGGTAACTAATAATAGTAGTAAATGTGTAAAGTTGCATAAAATGGAAATACTCAATAAAGCAAGAAAAAACTACCTCAAATGTGTATTTAATGATTGGATTCCTGATTGGAACTGATAAAAAAAAAAAACATATACAAGACAATACAGCATTTACTGTGTACCAAGTGAACAAAATTTACTGATGGCTTAATTTAAGAAATGTTCTATTGCGCTTCTGATTTGGCTGGGAGATTCTCTGATTTTGGGTGCGCAACAGTGAGTTTGTCCAGTAACTCCAGTTGGAATCTTCACCCCAAAATGGCGGTCGCGCTACCGAAGCGCCACCTAGTGGCTGTTACCAAAAAAGCATCAGAGTTTCGCCTCTTGTTCTTCTGTACTCTTTGTTAAAATGGTCTTGCTAGGCTTATGCGATCATATCTATGTGCGTTACTTAGCCTATATCTGTTGTCATTGGCAACTGCTCGCGTTGCGCATGCTGTGCTTTTAGCACTATGCAGCACAGATTCAAGCAGCTTGCAGTGATAGTTGGGATTGGGAAATAACAATTCATGGTGCAAAGTCGGAATCATTTCTGCTGTGACACAGCTCTAAAAATACATAGTAAACAGTCACGATTCAGTTGAGTCAGTTCAGTGTTTATTCTGTCAGGTATCAGACACGCTTGGTCTATCTAGTTCTTGGAAACACGGCGTTCTTAAAGCTAGTGTATTGGAAATATGCTTGCTCTAAAAACACTGCTTGTTCTAAAGGCTGTCTCGTCCTGCTCGCCACAATCCCATACACTGTTAAAGCAACACCAAGGAACTTTTCCTCTGCGGTCGCCCTACAGGTTGGAAGCGGAATTGTCCATTACCGCTGTCGTAAATAATTTAGCCTACAGCAGCCTACTGTCACGCGCACGCTCGCTGTTTATCCAGCACCGGCTTTGGAATCAACAATGGCCACAGACAATTGGAGGAAGTGGTGGGTGAAGTGACGTATGCCGTAAAGCAGTCGAATTTTGTAGTTCTTTTTGTGCTCCGGTTACTACCCGAAACCCGAAGTTACATAGTGCAAGTAAAAGCGATACAGGCCACGTCAGGCTATGGCTAGTCTCAGCCTCAGACGTCACGCCCACGGAACGTTGGCTAAACGTCTGATGCATATGGTACACTTAACTGGAAACACTTCAGGAATGTCGAAGTCGTCATCTGATTGGTTGAATTTTATCGGATTTCCGGGGGGCGCGAGTGTCGCGTTTATTTTCGGTCTGCCGGGAAACAAAGCGCAGACGTGTGATTGCGGAAGAAAAACTGTTGTGTTTACATGAGTGACAATGAGCATTTATCAAGATCAGCTAAACGTAGGATTCTCAAAAGTATGCGAGGTTCACGGCGTAGACTCTTTAAGAGATGTCCAGGAGTTTTGTTTGAGGCACTTAGTGGAGACAAAAAGAGATATTTTAGCCTGTTTGCCGACGGGATTTGGGAAGAGTATTATTTTCCAAGCCTGGCTGACCCTTTGTCAGCATTTATAAGGATTCCCAGCAGATCCAACTTTACTAGTTGTGTGTCCCCTCCTATCTATTATGGAAGATCAAGTGAAATACCTAACTGTGAAGGGGATATCAGCCGCGTTTGCGGGCACACATGAAACAACAGACGCTGACATCGCAGCTGGCCGATTCAGTATTGTGTTCGGTTTTCTTCTCCTCCTTTGATTTTCTATGCTGACTGACTTGTTGCACGCCGGTCTGTTGTTGTGGGGACATTTCCACGTGACGCTGAACAAAACGAACTGTAATTGGTTGTTTGACATGTCGGTCAAACGGCCTTATGGGCGGGCCTTGGCCAAAGAAAGCTGCTATGAGTTCCAGACCTTCAGCCGTCAGTCTGAAGGTCTGGCTACGCGAGACTAGGCTATGGCAGACGCGTCATTTAACCTATTGTAAGTCGATGTACCATCACAAGGGTCTTGGAAATATATTATGAAGGTTGAAAAATTACATAGTGTTACTTTAAATTGGCTACAGCAACACGCTTGTTGCAATGTGTCCTTGCTTGATCAAGCTGGTGTGATGCTTCCCCCATTAGATTTGATCTATAGTGTTTAACATATGGCACTAACATCAGGGATGCATACGGTAACCATTCTATCAGCATTTATATATATTTTAAAAAAGGCATCCAGATTTTCGCTGTCAGTTTGTGTTGGGGAATATTGGCATTTGGTTATAAAAAAGATGATATCATACCGATGAATGGACGATTGGCTTTCGGTGTGATGTCACCTCCCTCTGACTGCTCCACAAAGTTAAAGAGAAAGTTCACAGAGCTCTGGCCTGTAGTCACAATTAAAATATAGTGAATTAGCACTGCAATAGCACTATTGCAAGATGCAGCATTATTGCATCTTCCAAATGAAAACATTTGACTGATTTTCTTTTCAAAACCATTTTAACTAAATTCAAGATTAAACATAAATGTAATTATAATAATAATAATACATTTGAAGAAAATTTTGAATCTCAATGGTTTACATATCTGGCAGATTAAAACCACTTACCAGTGACTTTAAGGCTGTAGAAGCTTGCAGAGTTAATGCTGATCTTCCATTCCATCCCTGTCTGGTTGTCAGAGTTTAGTGTAACTCTCCTTAAATTCCCAACAGTCAGGATGCTACCCAGAGGACCATCTGCCACTGAATCTGACTGAGACACACCTGAAAGGCAGGAGAAGCATAACTTATTTTAAACAATGATTATGGCATCTGGATTTTTGTATTGGAGAAAATAACCCTCATCAACACACAATGTCCGAGGTGCGTTGGCTCACCTGCTGGGCTGTAGAGGGTAAAGACTGGAGAGTCTCCGGTGACATACACAGTCACATTGGACAGAGATGGATCCAACACAAAAGAAAAGTTTTCTGCAATGGCTGGACTTCTCACAACCTGAAGAACAGTTACCTTCAAGAAACACAGAGATGTTTTCAATGTTGCAGTGTTTCACAGCAAAATTCCAACCACCAAACTGAAAGAAATAAAAATCACACTTTTTCCGATACAGAGTCTGATTTGGATACCGATACTTTAATTTTTGGTACTTGCCGATAACTGTATTTTCACTGCATTTTTAAATTGTTTTAATATATTGGCTAGAGAAACCAAAAGAATATGAATCAGAGCTGCTCAAATTTAGAGCTGTTCCAGCAAAGCTCAGTGCTAAGGCTTGAGTCAGTGGTTCAAATGTTTAGATACCAGTAAAATATCACAATTCTCTATTCCAATACTGGTACCGATACTGGTATCGGTATCAGTGCATCCCTAATATATATATATATATTAGTCATTGTCAGAACATACCAGGGCTGAGGTTGATGCATCCGTAATGACTGCCGTGGCCTGAGAAAGTTTAGCCCTTGAGACCTCTATGGTCTGTCCACCAGAAATTTGAGCCAGGTCTCTGTACAGCTGTATGTCTGACAGAGGAATTGATCTTGAATTAAACTGTTGAGATTGTGAGACATCCCGTCTTCTACGTAATGAGAAGGGGTCAGTCAACATGAAAGTGACCTGGAGGGCAGAGAGATATTGCAGAGAGCAGATTGAAATGCAGAAAAATGTCAGTTACAATTCAACAAGACATTAAATTAGCAGCAATGACGTTAAAGTGATCTCATCTGCAGGCACTCACTGTTGACTTGGTGCGTTCTATCATGACCTGAACGGTGCTTTTTAAGTGAATGTCCTTTGCTGAAGCATCTGTGAAAACAAAAATGTCTGAAGACGGAGAAGCCCCTGCCAGTGCCAACTGGAGTTCGAGAGAGAGGTGTGGGGGTGGTGGTGGTGGTGGGAACAAGATAAGAGGACCTCAAGATTATTATAATTTCTCGCTCTGGCTTTATATCAGCAAAAGCTCAACCCAGCTGTGATATTCACAATAATTGTATCAGTAATATAATCTTATTATATACTGTTTCAGTGTGAATAGAAGTGTTTTTCTTAGTTTAAATCAATGTTTACAAAACTCTCCAAAAGACGTAACACAAACACACACACACACACACACACACACACACACACACACACACACACACAAAAAAACACACGCACCAGCAGTCCTGACAGGCACATCTCTGGAAGGTCTCCTCCACCATATGCTGTGAGGGAATTGATTATCGATTTGAAAATATCTGCATCCTTAGTCCTTGTCAGAGGTCCAAAATCTGTATGACAGAAACACATCACAGATCACTACAGCAACGATAATGTTTACATAATTTAAATTATATAATGTATAAATGTAATAATCTAACAGAAATATTTATATATCTTTACATAAATTACTTTCACTAACTATTGTTCAGCTATCATTTAGATCCTCTGTAAACATCACACTTGTATTATTGATGATGGCAGACATTGTACTTTTAATATATTCCATAAAAAGCAAATCATTCACAGATCATTTCATGTTCAAGTCATTGCAAGTTCAAGTTAGATTTGAACATGAACAAAAGTGATTGTCCGAATAGGTGAATAGTTTACTAATTTTTCCATCCATTTTACTTGATGCAAATGCCTCAATGAATGTTTGATGCATTCAGGCTCACTTGCGCACATACATAATGGGCAGGCATTCATGTTGACCACGTGATCAGGCAATCACAGCATTACCATGCCACAGTGTGTCATCACTGTGTCACAGTGAGTGCATATAAGCTGACATAAAAATTAGTAGTCTATAGAATATTAAATCTCATACCGCACTGCCTCCTTTGCTTTTTTGCCCTTTGTTGGGGAAAAAATGGATAGACATGATCTAAATGCACAATATGATTACCTGGATCATTAAATGGGACTAGAATGTATTCTGAAGGTTCCTCTGGTGTTCCTCTCCTGCTGTCTATGATACTGAAGGACACTCTCTTGGCTTCTTCAATGTCATCAGACATACTGCCTGTGGTGTCAATCACAAAAGCCAGAACTGAGGTCTGACTCAGGCCCATCAATCTGAGAGAGAGAGAGAAACAAATAAGACTGCCAGTATAAATTTGTGACTCTATGGGCTCTATAACTAAAGAACTTTGTGTATCCACAGCATCAGTAGAAATGGCATTTACCCCCCATTTTTCCTAACTGTCCCCAAATAAATTCACAACCTATAATTCAGTTGTTATGCTGAGTTCAAGTCATGTCGGAAAGATCGTATTTATGAATTGAATGTTGTAATTGCGAGTGGGGGGGATTTTCAGAGTTGGAGCATGTCTGTGAGAAAACATGTTGGATGCAATGAACGCAGCATCTGTTTTGTCGTAAAATTTGTTGAAAATAAATAAATACATTTTTTAGTTGTTTACATTTTTTATTTAATGTAGCCTAAGGTTATGTAAATTTGTAAAGTTGCATGTACAAAGTACCATAATATTGTACATTTGGAACTATGGAATAGGCCTATATAACCATTCCATTTAGTCACACAGATTTGAACTTGGAGTGAGTGTATACTCTAAAATCCATGCCAACTTTCATATTTATAAAAACGGTCTTTGACGTGGAAAAGTTTTTAGCACCCCGTCAGGTTCTAAGCAGATACTGAAGGCGTGGATTCTGGAAGACAAATAACTATTTGTTACATTTAACACATACGTTTTAAAGCCCACTCTTAGGAATGAAATATCCCCCCAGAAGAAGCAAGAGAGCAGATAAAGGCCTCAGTCGCCAGGGCGACCATCCATCAGATAAGATGGTTTTATTGCTGTTAAAAATGTGGTCAAGATTGAGGCCATAGGAAAGACTTACAGCCCTTAAAACAGACTTTCCTGCATTAATTTATAGACGAACTGATATATAAATGAACATGCATCCCCAACATTGTATGTGATAATTTTATTTCTTGTATACTGTCTCTTGCATTTATATTTATTGTATGCATGCTTTATGAGAGAACTACTAGTTAATTAACCCCACCTATATCGTGTCTCCTTTTTATTTAATCCTCATTTAATGTCTCACACTTTAGTGAACATCACCTTCTCATAGAATGCAGTGTGTGTTTGTTATATCTATCTGAGCATAAATGGACACAAACGGCAAGGCCCATGTCTAACCACACTTGAGACAGTCATAAATCCTCCCAACAGAGGAATTTCCTGGTTGGAAATTCCACCTTTCTTATTAGTCGAGCCATTATTAGAGGTGGGACCTTTCTCAGTCTTTAAATTGCCATTACACAAGCCTCTCTTGGCCTCCTACGTTTGCGTAGCTGTCCTGCGTGGCCACACTTGGCCCCAGGGCAGCTGAGCAGGCCTTGACTGCAACAGCAAACGGCAAACGTTTGTATTTGAAATATAGTTTAAATTCAATAAAGTATCAATTTTTTCACTTGGGTTGAGTTAAAAAATGGTACATCGCCATGTTACTTCGACTAAAGTACTTGAATGAACCTGACCTCATAAATATGAACTTTCCAGAAGGACTTAAACGTTAAAATATTTTTTTTAATTTGCTGAAGAAGAGCTCAAAGACTGGTGTAAAAGTAAGGTATGTGTACCGAAGAAAGGCTCTGTTGCCTGTGGCCAGTCGGATGTCTTGCAGCAGTTCCATAGTAGCATTGATGGCCATTTCAGCGGCACGCTGATGAAGGAAGCCGTGACTTGAGCTGATGTCATCCTTGTTGATGCCTCCGGTGGGGTCTCTATAACTGGTCCTATCAAGAAAGCCGCCATGGCTACACTTGCCTGAGAGAAAATTATGTCAGCATATGGATTTGTAGTTCCAATTTCAAACATCCTGTGGACTGTGATGACAGGCCTATACAGAGCAGTTATAATTGAACACTACACATGGGATGCTCAGCTTCCTTACCCACAGGTTTTGCAGAGAAGACCATGCTGAAATATCCTGAGGTTAGTTTCTTATGCAGCAATATTTCCGGGAGAATGTTATCTCTACAGTCTTTCCCAGTGCAGCTTTTGCATGTTGGTGTGCTGCGGTCTGTACATACAGAAAAAAGATAAGAATGTGAAACTAATTTCTAAACACTCGGGAAATTGTAGAATGAGGGTAATTGTATTTTGTCATACCTGCTAGATTGTTGAGAGGAAGTTCACGTCTGATCAGGGGGCTGAAAGGAGCAGTGCTTCCCAGTTCCACCCAGTTACTGTGGCTATAGAAATCCTGCACTCAAACATTGCAAATCAAATATTACAAATAATACTGTCCAAAGTTCTAAAAGTATGTATACACTTTGTGGTTGTCAAACATAGTGGAACATGCGCATACAGTTCATTTGCGGTGGTTAAACTAAACCTGTATGGACTGAAAAAGCTCTGTCATCATGTTTGCAGATGTTACTTGGTTTAACTTTTGCAATGAAATTCAAATATTTTCATTCAAACAAACAAGTGTCAAAAATTGTTCAAATACTCTTAGTTAAGTAAAAAAAGGAAAAGATATTGAATAGTCATTTTAAAATGCTTAATTTAATTATTTTTATTTTACCTTAATTTTACTAGGAAGTCCCATTTGAGATCTATTATACAACATATAGCTTAAAACGCTGATTTAAACACAGAGGTATTTTACAAGAAACAATCGCATATCTCCTTTACTGCATTCTTTATGGTTATCTTAAATTCATCATTAGATACAAGTATGCTCAAAAATCTTTTTGCTTTCAAAAATCTTTGTGCTTTTTTGCTTTTGACCAAGGCGCAAAATAGGAAAATGCAGTTTTCCCCAGATCTGTCAAAACCTAGGGTACATTAAAAAACAACCACTTGGAGGAACGCAACTGGTAACTACCAGAGCTAAAACAAAGGTTAAAGAGGTAATAAAGTAAGAGAAGAGTGAATCGGCACCTCGATGTATATGGTGCTAGCAACGACATGGGTTTGATTCCCTGGGAATGCATGAACTGATAACATATGCATGTAAATCACTTTTGATATATATGTTTTTGGATGTAACATAAATTTATATCTGGTATAAAGCCAGCATGAAAAAAAAAGATTACAGACCACCTACTATAATCTCCATTTATAACATACCTGTAGTGTATGACATACAGCCCCCAGTGTGATTCGACCAGAGATATAGCTCCCCTGCTGTACACTGGCCTTTACTGCAGCCAGGCCACTAGTGATGAGGTCCCGGCCCTCACCGAAAGCCTCATTATCTATGTGACGCGCCGCACTCAGAGCAAACGCTGCATCTATGACTGCATTGCTTAGATAAATCTCTGTTATCACTGAATAAAAACCCAGTGAAGAGATGGCAGAAGTTGAAGTAGGAGATGTTGCGCAGGCTCGTTGGACAGCAGATACAGTCAGTCTGTTGTTTATCTGGAGGTGAGGTGTAGAAAGAGGAGATTATTAGGGCCCAAGCCTTGAAAAGGCGAAGGCCCCTATTGTTTTCCTAAGGATTATTATTTATTATTAGGGCCCAAGCCTTGAAAAGGCGAAGGCCCTATTGTTTTCCTTAGGATTATTATTATTATTATTATTATTATTATTATTAGGGCCCAAGCCTTGAAAAGGCGAAGGCCCTATTGTTTTCCTAAGGATTATTATTTATTATTATTATTATTATTATTATTATTTTACTACCTTTTGGGCACTTTTGGGGGCCTTAACGTGCTCGAAAACTCTTGAAACTTTGCACACATCTCAGAACCCGCGGCCATCAGGGCCGGGCTGAAGCTGGTACCCGGGCGTGGCAGGGGGGCTCGACAGCGCCCCCTGGAACGGGGTTTGAACACTTGGTCCATAAATCAAACACGCTTGCATGTAATAATATGAAACTCAGTACACATATAGATCTCATCGGTTCATATATACTTCATGCTCTTACTTTTTACCCCAGCCCAACAGGAAGTCGGCTATTAAGGGTTGTTTGGAAAACACATGCAATGGAATGTGAAATACTCCTCCTAGAGAATTCAAACACACGGCACGAAACTCGGTCAGCATGAAGTCAAGACACTGAGGATGAAAAATTGCCAGGGGATTTTTGATATCTCGAACGGTTTGGCCGTGGCGAGTAAACGAAATTATGGCGAGAAACGTGAAACAGGAAGTGTGTTATAACTACTGCATACATTAACTAATCTTGATGAAACTTCAGCAGTGTGTTCGTTGTAAGAGCCCGATCACATGGATGTGACTATTGTGAGTCAAAGTTATAGCGCCACCAACTGGCAGCAGGAAGTGTGTCACTTTCAAAATGCTTTTAAATCACCCTCTTATTTTTACCCGATTTGCTTCAAACTTCATGTGCATAATGTAGACACACGCCAGATGTAGACCTTTGAAAGGATTATTGATATCTTAGATACTGTTGCCATGGCAATGCATCAAACATTAATATTCCTTTTTTTAAGCTTTTTCATGCTTTTTTATGCTTTCGGGCACTTTTGGGGTTCTTAACGTGCTCGAAAACTCTTGAAACTTTGCACACGGGACAAAACCCGCGGCCATCAGGGCCACGCTGAAGCTGGTACCCGGGCGTGGCAGGGGGGCTCGACAGCGCCCCCTTGAACGGGTCAGACAATTTGGTCCATATATCCAACACGCTTTACCCTATTTGCTTCAAACTTGATGTGTATAATGTAGACACAAGCCAGATGTAGACCTGTGAAAGGATTGTTGATATCTTAGATGCTGTTGCCGTGACAACGCATCAAACTTTAATATTCTTTTTGGATACTTTTGAGATTCTTAGCGCACTTTTGGGGCCCTTAACATGCTCAAAAACTCTTGAAACTTTGCACACGGGTCAGAAACCGCGGCCATCAGGGCCGGGCTGAAGCTGGTACCCGGGCGTGGCAGGGGGGCTCGACAGCGCCCCCTGGAACGGGGTCCGAAAACTTGGTCCATAAATCAAACAGGCTTTACCCGATTTGCTTCAAACTTGATGTGTATAATGTAGACACACGCCAGATGTAGACCTGTGAAAGGATTGTTGATATCTTAGATGCTGTTGCCATGACAACGCATCAAACTTTAATATTCTTTTTGGATACTTTTGAGATTCTTAGCGCACTTTTGGGGCCCTTAACATGCTCAAAAACTCTTGAAACTTTGCACACGGGTCAGAACCCGCGGCCATCAGGGCCGGGCTGAAGCTGGTACCCGGGCGTGGCAGGGGGGCTCGACAGCGCCCCCTGGAACAGGGTCCGAAAACTTGGTCCATAAATCAAACACGCTTGAATGTAATAATATGAAACTCGGTACACATATAGATCTCATTGATTCATATATCCTTTGTACTTTTACTTTTTACCCCAGCCCAACAGGAAGTCGGCTATTATGGTTTGTTTGGAAGCGTATGCCCCTGGAATTCGATATACTCCTCCTAGAGAATTCAACCAATCGCCGCGAAACTCGGTCAGCATGAAGTCAAGACATTGAGGATGAAAAGTTGCCAGGGGATTTTTGATATCTCGAACGGTTTGGCCGTGGCGAGGAAACGAATTTATGGCGAATAAAGGAAACAGGAAGTGTGTTATAACTTCTGCATACATTAACTAATCTTGATGAAACTTCAGCAGTGTGTTCGCTGTAAGAGTCCGATCACATGGATGTGACTATTGTGAGTCAAAGTTATAGCGCCACCAACTGGCAGCAGGAAGTGTGTCACTTCCTAAAGGCTTTGAAATCACCCTCTTATTTTTACCCAATTTGCTTCAAACTTTATGTGTATAATGTAGACACACGGCAGATGTAGACCTGAGAAAGGATTATTGATATCTTAGATACTGTTGCCGTGGCAACGCATCAAACTTTATTATTCTTTGTTGATGCTTTTGAGACTCTTAACATACTTGAAATTGCATGAAACCCGACAGACACATCACATTTATTAGACAGTAGACATGTGCAGAGTTTCAGAAACGGGCGTGGTGAGGGGCTCAGTAGCGCCACCTTTTGTCAAAAGTGGGGGGATTGATTTTATCTACAGTAATAAAAATCGGTATGTGTATTGTTCTCCTCCAGCCAGACAACTTTCTAATTTACACTCAATAGCTCCAACCAACAGGAAGTCAGATATTTTGGTTTGAAAATTGTCATTTTATGTCTCTCTCTCTCTGAGCCTACGTCTATGTGTGTGTGTGTGTGTGTGTCTGTGAGTGTGGGGAGGGGGAGGGGGGCTAGATTAACCATTTGACTGCTGTGTGGTTTGGCCTGCATTAAAAAAGAAAAAAAAATGTCTTACGCCTTGTATTTTTTAAATAAGTTGTATTAATAAGTAAAGGCATATAACCAGTTGAATTGTAGTGCATTGAAAATAGTTTTATATAATTAGTTTATTAATTAAATTAACTTGGTCAGAAAATTTGGTCCATAAATCAAACACACTTGCATGTAATATTATGAAACTCTGTACACATATAGATCTCATCGGGCCAAACAACTTTAAGCCAGCCCAACAGGAAGTGGGCTATTTTGGTCTTAATGTGGATGTTTTGCAAAACCAGGCTCTACATTTTTACCCACTCCTCTTAAGTGGTTTATTTTATTCCCACCAAACTTTTTCAACATGATGAAAATACATTAAAGAAGCATAATTGTGAATATCTATTGAATATCTCTAATTGTTTTGCTATGGCGAGGGATTAAAGTCATGTAAAAAAAAATAAACACTAAAAGCCTCATATCTTCTAAAAATTTAATTATACACCATTTATTTCTAGATAAAATTATACAAATATCAGAACTAAACCCATTTTATTCTTGTTTTCAATTTAAGAATAATGTACACGTTTAAAAACAGCCAGGATGCACTATTCAGTTAAAAAATAAATATATCAAGTAATACATAGGGCTATACTGCCCTCTTGTGTTCAAAATCAGGTAGGCCTGTTGTATTTAAATATAGGTAGCTGCTATGTGACTCCGAGAATTTGTTCTCACCGGTTATTTGACGTGTAACACCGGGGGCTTTTATATCGCTAAGTTAAAAGTGAAAGTAAAGTAAGGACATTTATAGTGGTGGCGCTCACAGTGCGCTCGAATGAATTTCTATGGAAGTAGAAATGAAAAAACGTTCGCTCTGTTTTGCTCGCTCGTCGCCATGGACGCGCACCGTAATGAATGCCACTGCAGCCGCATACTTTTTAGTGTCACTTTAAAATTAGTGCAATATCGGGGGCCAATTGCTTGAATTGTGAGTTCAATAGTCTATTATTTTTCACGGAAAACACAACAACAAAAGAGTACAATGATAGATTCGCTTAAATAGGCGCTTTTACATAAAATAGCCTATTCCGTCATCATCTTTTCAGTCAGCTCTTCACTCTCGTGATTAATGAAATTTGACTCCTGTTGCTGATATTTGCTGCAACTTTCGTTCTGCTCACAATTTAGTAAGCAAACACGCTTCAAATGTGTTTTTATTTTATTTTTGTGTGTATATATGTGTGTATATATATATATATAGCTTATGTTTCAAATATGAGTTAATTAACAATCGTTTGAAAGAATGATACTTTTAAACATATCACTAAGCCGTCATTAGGTGTCGCCAGGCGACCGTCTTAATGAGCGAGTCATTGATTCATTTGTTCGAACGATTCGTTCGAACGGCTGAGTCATTCATGAATGAGACAGATTATGGATTGGTCATTGAATCTTTGAGTCAACCGATTCGTTCAAAATGCTGAATCATTCAGTAATGAGAAAACACGTTGCTGTGAGATGCTCGATGGTTCTGCTGTGATCTTTGTTTAACTAGTTTCACTGCTGAAACAGAAAAAAGTCAATATTGCATATAAAATGTAAGTGATTTGACTTGTGTGTGTGTCTCTCTCTGTGTGTGTGTGTGTGTGTGTGTGTGTGTGTGTGTGTGTGTGTGTGTGTGTGTGTGTGTGTGTGTGTGTGTGTGTATGATTGTGTCTGTTACTTTTTGGATATATATCTTTTTATATAAAAAAAAATAGGCATACAACCCATATATTTTAAATGTATTGTTTGCTTTAAATTACATTAAGATTTGTATGTTTGGTAATTGAACCTGAATGAATTTTAAATGAATGTGCTATATTTCAGAGTTTTCCTTAAAATTTGACCTAACACTAACTTTATTCTCATCTGAATGATAGATTATTTATTTCTGTATAAAATAAAAAAGAGATTTTGGTTGGGTGACAGTTGTAGTTTACAGTTTGACAAAAGCACAATGTTGTGTTTTATTGCGATTGTTCACAAATATAAGTAAACACTTATGAGATAGATGTTTATGGATTGATTGGTCATTGAATCTTTGAGTCAACCGATTCGTTCAAAATGCTGAATCATTCAGTAATGAGAACGCGTTGCTGTGAGATGCGCGATGGTTCTGCTGT